TTTACCCTTCGGTGGGAGGAGAGAGGGCAAGTGCTAAGCTGAGGTCCTGCCGCACAGAGCGAGACGCTGGTAGAAAAGGGAGTTGTTCTTTCCTTTTCTAAATTCTTTCAGTCAGATTCCACTTGAACCATCTTATCCAATTGCCTCCCTAAATCTAGATCCTGAGTGAAGAACAAAAGCAAAGATACAAATTTAGGAGACGGAATGTAACCATATATGCCTCCCTTCATCATGAAATAAGCTTTGTTAAGCCAAGCTTATCCTTATCCCCGAAACTTCATAATCCTTTTTGGTCTGCGTAAGGATATTTGCTGCAGCTTCATTGACATGACTTACCCATACAAACAGCCGCCAAGTCAGCATCCTTTAAATCTTTCAGAGAACCTACAGGGTAGAAAGTCCGGAATCTGTCTAATCATGAGGAGACAGGAAATATTCACGAGTTGGAGGTGGGAAAGAGGTTGATGGAAACCCATTTGGAAAAGAGTTAAAGGAGGCAATGATAAAAATTATCCAAGAGGAGAGTGAGAGAAAAACTGAGAAGTGAAAGGAGAATACTGGAGCTGTGTAATATGAGAACAAGAAAGTAAGTGGAAGAAGAAATAAAAGATTTATGACATTCTTCCTCCTTTTGCTATAAAAGATTGTCTACATTGCTTATTAAAATAGCCTACACATCATCAAGTATGTGAAGTGTTTGATGATGGAGGGAGGGAGACAGACTCAGAGTGTCCATTATCAATTTGAGAGAGAAGCTTGTTGTGAGAAGTGACCCTGCTTAGTCAGAAGAAGAGATGAAGGGGACAGTGGCTTAAAGAAGGGACTTGGCGTTTGGAATAGAAAGAGAAGGACAATAAGTGGTTTACCTCTCTCTGCACATCAATTTTAACAGTCCTCTGGAATATTGCATTTCACTCTGATAACTTAAAACCAGAAAGACTTCCAAACATATGCCCTAGATCTTCAACCCCATTTGCACATTCTTGTGTTTACTCTTATCTGTAAGATTAGTGTAAATGGCAGATCCAGGAGTCTGGCAGTCCAGGAGTTTGATTTTTCTTTAAAACTGCATTTTAGTAAAGGCTGGGCTTTTGATTACATTTTTTCTCAAAAGCCTCTGGTTTCTTTGAAATCTTGACCATTCAGAAAGCTAGTGCCTTGAAACAAATATTTTTGTTTGACAAGCTGACTAATTTTGAATGTAAAGTTACATTAAACCCCTGAATTAAGGCAAAGGAGCTTTGAGGATGCAAATACAGTTGGGTATACAAGCTGGACAATATCTAGGGGGTTAGTTCCCGTTATTTCAATTAGAATTAAACATTTAATTACTATGAGAAGCTGGAGATAGGATTGCTGCAGAATAAAAAGCATGCTGCTTTACTCTGCATGACACACTGTATTTACATGACCCGAATTCAATTCCTAACCACTGTCAGGGACTGTGCCCCATTTCTTTTGCTCTTTTGGTCTACCTGTATTAGAAAAAACACTTGTAGCAGAATAAACTCCTGAAGCAAGCAGGATTCTGCAAACTATTTCCCTAATTTCCTTGTTTCTTCCAGGTATTCCAGATTGCATATATTGTCTTTCAGGGATCATTACAGTTATGAAAAACGTGATGAATAAGATTACAGTCTCAAGAAGACTGTTTAAGCACAAAGCCTGTATTTCAATCTTCTTAGTCTGTCAGGTATGTTTTCTGTTGAACAGGCTTTCACTGAGCACGTTTTCTTCTCCTTCTATACCAGTGTTACAGCTGGGGCAATTTCCAGTTATTCCTCATTAAGATCAGACTATTAGAGACTTCAGCATTAGTGCGAATGCAAATGAAGTGGCTTGCCAGCTTCTCACCAGGTGTTAGCCTGACCCCTTGAAGTCTGTGAACTGTGTTAGAATTTGATACACGTAAACCACCTTAATTGTTAATAACCTTTATGAAAGAAATGAATATTCACACAAAGCAGCCTGTTGAACCAATTAGAGACAGAAATGTTTTAATTAAAATGAGGTTGCAAATAGACAGACTCAATAAATTACTACGTTCAAATGAGTAGAATGTTAACTAAATGCAACAAATAACCAGTTTGATTTATGAGACTGACACCAGAAAGAACCATTTTGTGTCAGTTTTGTATTTCGAGGATTTCAGTGGGACTCAGGATCTAATCAGCACAGCTTTCAAGTCTCACCAGTAAAAACCCATAGGAATCCCTAATATTTACATTACCTTCACCAAAACATCCATTTGAAAATGTCTTTGTGTATGACCCAACAGAGCGTGCAGTGAAATCCCTGCATTCACGTGAAGACAGTACTATCACTTACATACTTATAAAATGTTACTACTGTTACACATAATTGTGGATATCACCATTCTAACCAACCTTGGGTTTGGGAACACAGAATTGTTCTAGGTACTAGTTAGAAGGGATTTTCAAATTACATTCAAAGCAGTTTTTGAATAACTACTTTTTTAATCAGGATCCTTTTCAGTGACATCTGTCAGCTATTATTAGGAAGTAACCAGAACAGTGTTGTTAGTACCTGCACATACACACAAAAAATATAAATAAAAAGAATAAATGAAGATGTTCCTTAAAAACAAAGGCAAAAATAGAAAGTCCAAACTCCTTCTGCTTTGTGTGTTGGGCTTGATGTGATTTGTTACCTAGAAGGCGGCTGTGGTCGTCTGTAGCTTGTAATACATCTAAGCTGCTCACCAGTGGGTTGCAGATGGGTCATGTTGTTCATGGTGGAATCTCACTTTAAGATCTTTCACGTTTTCCTCCTTTAGGTGGTTTGTCCACTGAAAGCTGGGGCATAGAGTTCTGGATATGAATGGCAGAGGAGAAGAACCACTTTTCTTCCACATGGTCTTTGCTTTTATGGGCAAATTGTCTACTTACTGCCGTTACAGACTACCTTCATGGTTTTAGGTCAGTTAGGTGAATACAGTACAATACGGGTTTTGCCAGTATGGCTCAACTGTCCCATAATGAAATATATGAGCTATAAATTATATTAGAAAATGTCATCATTGAATCATCATTCCTTTGCAAAATCAGCAAGATTAATCAGAGCTCCTATGCTCTAAAACAGGTATTGACTTTCAGTTTAAAAATCCTGAAGAGGAGCTTTATTGATATTCTTATCATTTCTCTTTTTTCCTATATTCTAGCTTTTCCAAAAAAACATGTTATCACCACTCAGCTTCTTTTTTTTCCCCTTCTTTTTTTCCTGCTATTAATTGACATTCACACATCTTGTTCTTTCATACATCCTCTATTTCTTTGGTCTGTTATTCACTGCTCATCTCTCCTTATCTACAGTTTACCTTTCCCATAAAGTTTAAAGCATTTCCAGTGAAAATATTCTACTATAGGCCCACTCCTAGCTTCTTCATTTTGTTGGCTCTCTCTCAAAACCCAATTGTGTTCTTGGAGAGCTACTGTGCCTCTACACAGGCGGTCATTACGCTTCCACTAGCAGAAGCTGTCTTTGACCATAAGCAGGGAGGAGCTAGGTCCTTCTTGGGGCCAAACAGCTAAGTACCAGGTACCAAACTGGTAAGAGAGAGTACCAGGAAAGGAGCTGGTTCTTGGGGATGCTGAAAGAGAAGAAGAGTTTGCAAGGCCCAAAGAGGCCCACATGGGATGACAGAATTAGGTATGATTTATTTCCTTTCCTGGATACAGGAACAGAGCCACAAAGGTACTTAGTTGCCTAACAACCAATGTACATGCCCACAGGTCCTTGGAATCACTGGGAAGTAAGCATTTAGATGAAAATTAGTATGTATAAAACCCAATAAAAGCAAGAGTACCCTAAATACCCTTGCAATCTGGACCTACTCTTCCGTGCCTAGGCTTCTCAGTCTTACTCAAAGCTGGTCTACATCAGAAAGCTAATCAGACAGCACAGTCACCACCCAAATAAGAGGTACACATGTATTTATGCATATAAATAATACATGCTATACAGACTCTTTGGACTGTATTCAAACCAACTATTACAGGTGTAAAACTTAACATCTACTTATCTGCCTCCCTACGCAATCCACAAACAGTACTAGTTATAACACCTAGGTGGTTAGAGCGAGTAGTGTACATATGATCAACAGCGATGGGGACATACCCCAGGCCATCTTGTTCTTTGCGTACTTATTTTATCTGTTCTAGAATATCCCTTAAAGATCCCCCCTGCCCTAGTGTGTCCTGACTCCCTGCAGTTTGCTTCGTTCTATGCCATTTTCACTGTTCCACTGAGCCAAACACACTAAGAAGGAGACCTTATTGTGGCCTTCAGTACTGAAAGAGGGCTTATAAGAAAGATGGAGAGAGACTTTTTACCAGGGCTCGTAGTGACAGGACAAAGAGCAATGGTTAAACTGAAAGAAACTGAAAGAGGGTAGATTTAGAATAGATAGAAGGAAGAAATACTTTACTGTGAGGGTGGTGAGACACTGGAACAGGTTGCCCAGGGAAGTCATGGGTGCCTCATCCCTGGAAGTGTTCAAGGTCAGGTTGGACAAGGCTTTGAGCAACTTGATCTAGTGAAAGTTGTCCGTGCCCACAGCAGGGGTTTGGATGAGGTGATCTTTAAAGGTCCCTTCCAACCCAAACCATTCTATGATTCTATGAGTCTACAAAGAATTTCCTTTCAAACTTTTTCCATAAGCAATGAGCTGGTGCCTCCAATGAAGTAAACCAACCAAGCTGATTCAAGAGCTACTTCTCCCCAGTTAAAGGCCCCGTTCATCATGGCTCTAAATTCTGAGACTGAGAGCAGGAAAAACAGAGGTTCATGGTTGGGTACAAGAAAAAAAAAAAAAATAATGTATCTTTAAACCACTTCCCCACCCATTCTTACTGAAATTAGCTTTGCCCAGCTCCTGAGTTTCTATGCCAGAAGACGCACGCACACACACACAGATGGTCTGTGCTGACTCTTTGCAGCAGTCGTCTGGTGAAGAGGTTCCCTTTGAGAGCTGAGAGTTTCTATCCATGCAGATATGCTTCAAGCCAGTGCTCCCCAGAATCCTTCAGTGAACTGCAGGAACAGAAAGTAAAAAATGGCTTATGGGGAGACAATATTCAACTTCACGGGAAGCAAAATGTAGTTTAGATGTAAAAAGAAGTAAATGGAAAAAACGGAATAAAAACTGCATGGACATCTCGAAGTCTGACTACAGGGAATGAATTGAGAGGATTTAAGGAAAATAATCTTTGAAACTTTAAAAATTTTTGAAAATTAAAAGTGCCTTTGGAAAAACCTAAATAAACTCTAGGTTTGATCTCTCCATGGATATTGTTTTGAAATGGCTGCCTATGTCCCTCCCTTGCATGCTATTACAGTGCAAACTGTCTTGTTAAGTGATACTTACTGCAAAATATCTACAAAGGCTGTCAGTAAAGTCTTGCTTTTATACTCAATGCCATGCTTATCACAAAGGGCTTTCACCAGAGGAGCAGCTTTCCAGTAGTTGTGTCGAGGCATCGTGGGGAAAAGGCTGCAGAATTGAATGAGAGATAGCTATTGTAAGACTTCGCTTGCATCACCCTCTGTTCCCTCTGTTCAAAATATTTCCCTGACCTCCCCTAGAAGGAGAGCAAAAGGTCTCCTGAATGGTTTCATGTGAGGCTACATGGTCTTTCTCACTTTTAAGTGCCCCGTATTATTCCCACTCTTTTCCCCATAATCATACTCACTGGTGCTCAATTTGGAAGTTCAAGTGCCCAGTGAACCAGTCATTGAAGAAAGATTGCTTCACATTGCATGTTGCATGGAGCTGGAAGGAAAAAAGACCAAAGAAATACATGATTTATTTTTCTGGAAGTCTGATAATTGAACCCCAGCAATTATTACCCACCCTCATCTAGCATAAAAAGCAATTTAGTGTCAGAGATTATAGGTATCATTGCCCTGAAGAATTAAACAAAGTCTAGATTGAAATGGGTTGTTGGGACATAGGTTAATTCAGCTGGCTCTTCACTCAGAAAGAACAATTTCTTCACTGGCATGCACACAACTCCAACTGTGGTTCTTTTAAAGAGGTTCTCCTCACATCTTTCACTTGGATGGAAAGAAAAGATGCCCAATAAAGAAACAAAAGCCATTCTTCTGGCCTCCTCCCACCAGTACAAGTGGAGTCAGATGCAAAAGTACGAGGCCAAACGTTTGTGTACACAGGCTTCATCTCACCTAATTTAGACACCTTTAGTTTGAAATCTGCATCTGAGCTCATCACTTTAGGGTCAATGGAGAAAAATAGACATTTTTATGGTGTCATTCATCTGATCCAATTTAGATGTCTATTTTAGGGTAAGATGAATCATGCTCTAGAAATGGCTTTTTCTCTCCCATGAATGTAGCAGGTGTTCAGATGTAGGCATCCAGATCTCATCAGATGAATATCAGGCTGGGTCTTTTTCCCCTCAATATAAGGAAAAATGCTTAGAACCCACCATGTGGGCTTATACTGCTGGAGGAAGTATAGATGTGAGTAAAGTTGTATTCACATACTCATTTTTATCAGACCTAAATTTTGTCAGATTTATCTTATCTGCAGTAAACCTGTAATCTGTGGGGTAAAAAAATAAAGGTATCCAGTCCCACTTTGCTTCTCTTTAGTTGGCCTAAAAAGGAGATTGACTGCTATTCTATCATCAGTACTTTTTCATAATATGACGGGAAAAGCGTTGTGAAAAATGTGTCAAAAATAGGATTTTTTTTTTTTAATCTAGTTGTCCTGTTTTCCAACTAAAGTTTTAAATGCTTTGGCTACTACAGAAATGCATGCCTATTTAACGAACGGCAAGGACAAGCTTCATCAACACAGCAGTAAAGCTAAGAGAAGAACAACATTGTCTTTGTCCTATAATTCAGAACTACAGATCCACTCTTCCAGAAGAAAGGAGATTCTCACCTGAGTAGATACCCAGTCTTTGTTCTTATCATAGTCAATGTCCATTGGAATGTGATTCATCTGTGACACCCAAATAAACCAGGTACTCTCTAGGTACCTGGGCAGATAAACACAGAAACACTTATCATATCTCTGATCCCACCCAAAGATACCATTAAAACACTTTCCTGAGTCTCGTCTTAAGTAAAAGAGCACTTTTACATAATCCAAGATTTTCTATTCCATTCCTTTGCCTCCTAACTTCTGGAGTTTCTTTTGAGAGTCACTAAATTTGTAGTCGCAGATGTCCCTGAGCAGCCGCCACCACCACCTCCCCAAGTTACACTGTTCCTTCTTGGCTGACTATTTATTTCTGAGAAAATTGTAGTGAGTATGACTAGTTTTCATTTATTTCCATTGAAGCTCAATATTGTTTACAAATATTAGTCATGGAGACTCTGGGTATGCTGTGTGTTACCTGGACAGCCAGTAGTACACCATGAAATTGTTAAATCCCATTAAAGGAATATACATAAGACAGACTCGGATGTTGAAAGACACAATCAATAACAGGTCCTGTAAAAAAAAGAAAAACAAACCAAAACAAAATAAAACAACAATAAATATTAAAATAAGTCTTTGTTGATGAACTCCCTCCACTCCCTCCTCTCCCCTTTACTTGAACTGCAGCATTAAAAATGTTCTTATTTATTGATCTCTTATTTATCAAGAGTAAGCTCCACACCATCATTCTGCCTCAAGTTGAGTGTGTCCTTCAAATATTCCCACAGCACTCACTTTACCATCAGTAACGAAAGACCAGCAAACAGCCCTGTAATCACAACCTGCCTAGGTCTGATAGTCTTCTGTTAACATTTATTCAGCTGCTAAGAGGTTAAAAAAATTCTCCCTGGACCCCTTGGCTGCATTC